ACTTTACTGCATTTACAGTTGTTTGAATGTTGATTAATGTACGTTATCCATTCTTAAATAAATGAAGTGAAAAGTTTCTTCTGGTTTAATAGATTTTTCTTCCCAGTTCTGCCAAAGAGTTTGCTCAAAAGGAATTATTGGATTTGTTGGATTTTTCTCAAACATACAGTAAAGTCTTGATCATGTGAAGCGCCCTGAGATGACTTAAGACTTATTACTGAGTTGAATTCTGTATTAACAACATTAGCATTAACCTGAGAAACAGCCTGTTGGCGTTAATACCCACATATCAGCTGATGACATTAGCCCTTCGCCAAGAGCGCTGCTGTGCATGCAGAAATGATTAGATTAAATATAACCAGTTAATTTAAATACTGATAAGGATCCCTGTTTGTTCCTTGGGGAGCATCCTGGTGGCTCAGAATTATTACTTTTTTGTGGAGGTTTTTTATTTGTTTTTCAGAGATGATGGTCCTTTTGTGTTTTTAGATAATGTGGGGTTTTAAGCGCTTTAAGACTCTAATTATGGGTCATGCAGCTGAACTTGACAGGTATTGTCTCGACCTTGTCATTTCACTGCCTCCGTGCCTGAAAAGCTTCCTGTATCCTCATCCTGCCTCTGTGTCAGCAGGGCTGCACTTCAATAGGCTCACGGTTCAAGAGCTTAGAGCCAAAGCTCAAGATGAGATAGATTCTCTGATGAGGATGAATCTAAAGATCCAGGCTTCCAACAGCTGCCAGCCAAAGACAAGCTGACCTCAAAAATAAGAAATTGTACTCTGCAAGACATACTGTGATCCATAAAATGACGACTTATCAGAATTTTTGAATTTCTGATCCATTTTAAAACCACTAAAAATATTTTCTAGGCTTTTCTTTGTAACAGAAAATGTTCATCTGTATTTATTCTTTTCATGACATTGCTTTTACCGACCACACACACATATGGAACTAAATTCCCCAAATGTGACTGTGCTCATTCAAATGGCACCTCTCCTGATCTTTGATTGATTGGATTTTCTGCTGCACATTTATTTCAGATATTGCATTTGGTGAAAATCTTAACCTGTTAGGCTACTTCACTGTTGGCGCACTTGATAATTGTAAAACTAGTTCATTTGTATTTTAATTCATTTTGTCTCATTTTTTTCTTTATGTACTAAGCTCCTAGAATTGCCTGTGTGATTTAAAGGTGTTATATTTATGCGTGTAAAGCTGCCTTGCCTTGAAAAAATGAAAAATTTGAGGGTCCGATCTAATTAAAATAGTTTTATAAATACCCCTGGGTCAATTTGTGTAATGTTATTTACAAGCAGCAGGATGCTGTTGGGTCAGTCATTACAAACTCTTGATTATACTTCCTTGCGGACGTGCTCACGGACAGCTGCAGACACCCACGGTCCATCCATGTGCGCGTCCGCAAAGGAGTATAATCAAGGCTTTACTGAGCAGCCAAACTTTGTTCAAACCCACAGAATGTATTTTTAATTCTAGAAGAGTTCCCACACTTTGAATATGTTGGGAATATTTCAGTTTGGTTGCAACCAGATGCAGAGAAAAGAGAGGCAGGCTGTATGTGAAGGCTTTATCTCCTGTGTTTAGACATTGTAGTAAAAGCTCTTAGAAAAACCACTATTTGGGTTAACTGGCCCGAAACATCGGGTACATCCTCTCCTCCACTCGCACATGTTTTTCTTCTCAAATATGAGCTCTGCAGTGAAATGCTGCCAGCGAGGATAAGAGAGTATGAGAGTTATTGTGGGACTCTTCTTTTCTTTGTGCAGAGCAGCGATGCCTGCAGGGAGAATGGGTGGGCCTCGGCCAAATCAAATACCAGGGGAACACCTCTAACACGTGCCATGCACTGCTTCAGGAAATACTGCAGCGAGACGGGAAGGGGCACTTTTTTCCCCCCGAAAATATGAAAGGTATAAAGTTTTATAACTGCCGCTTCACAATCAGATCACAGCGTAGCATTGTGAGATGAAAGCTTTCGCATCTCTGTGGGTGAAAAAGGCCATAAAACAATCATATCACTACCAAAAGATGAAAGAAGTTCTTACTTCTCATCTAGAAACTGGCATATTTGATGTGCTTTGATATTTTTTTTCACCTTTTAAATAACTTCTACATCCACAGAGGTTTTGGTTGTGGTCTACACCAACACACTGTACACGCAGCACTTTTTCTGCAGAAACACTGACATGCAAAGACACACATTTTTGGAAAAGTTGTGTCGTCACATCAATAAAGTGTACACACTGCATCTGCTCAGACCTTCTGAGAAACATCAAAAGAGACCTGGCAACCTGAAACACCTTCGAAAAAAAAAGAAGAAACTGCAGCACAATAAAAATGAGTAAAATATATGAACCAAAACACTTTTTTCCATGAAAACATAATAATGTAACATATTGTGGCAAGCAAAAGTTTGGTCAGAATGTTCATTTATTTAATTTCTTCATTGTTGAAGACTAACTGATCTCTAAAGAGCATAAATTCTCTCAGGCTTTCATTAGCTTGTTTTGGCTATACCTTGTTCACAGTCATTGTTATGAACAGCCACTTGAGGCAAATTTCAAAGCTTTGTAATCACTCTGACTCCTCAAACCTTCTCAATATAATCAACACCCATGGGCTCCCCGAAGCAGCCGCCTAACAGTCTGACAAATTAAATAATGGAAGCAGGAGAAGGCTGTAAGGAGATAACAAGGTGTTTTCAGGTAGTCGTTTCCTCCGTTCCCAAAGTAATTAAGAAATGACAGTCAGCGGGAACAGTGGAGGCCAAGTCGGGGTCTGGAAGAAAAAGAAAACTTTCAAAGAGAACTGCTCGTAGAAGAACAAATTAAAACCCTCGTTTGACTGCAATAGACCTTCATAAAGACTCATTAGACTTTGGAGTTGTGTTCTATTGTTCTATTGTGCTAAGAGTCATTAGAAGAACAATTTTTCTGCATCAGAAGTTTGAAAAAGAACACCTTAAGGATGCATTTAGGAAACAAGTCCTGTGAAGTCATGAACTTTTTGGCCACATTGAACATTGGGAACATGAACTCTTAGAGGGAAGAATGGAGTCGATTAATTGGCAGCAAAATTTTGGAATCAAACATCACATCAGCTGTAAAAACCTGAAGATGAAAAGTAGGATCTAAAACAGGATAATGAGCCTAAACATACCTCGAAATCCAATTGGACTACCCTCAGGGGTGCAAGCTGGAGGTTTTGCCACGGCCCCAGACATCCCTCAACCTAAACATCATCAAAAATCTGTGGATGGATCTCTGAAGAGCAGTGAATGCAAGAGGCCCTAAGAATCTCACAGATGTAGAAGACATTACTGTTTAGTGTTGTGCACTAAACACCAAGTCCAATTCCTTGTATGTGAAAACCTACTTGGCAATAAAACCTTTCTGATTCTGAAGCAGCTTACACTTACATAGCACCTTTTGACTTTAACTAGGTTCCCCAAACACTTTATGTTGTCATTTTCTTTCACGTATTGTCTTGTACACTTACCTTATCTCAGCTTATCTTATTCCAGCTTATCTTATCTCAGCTTATTTTAGCTTAGTTTATTTGCTGGATTATCAACTTTTACAACAATTACACTGCAGCTCCATACCTGCAGGGTCCTCAAAGGCACCACTGGATGTCTAACTAACTTTGGTTTCTAATTAACTGGAAAGATCTTTGTGACAGAATATCAAATAAAAAAAAACTACATGCTAAATTGAAATGACAAAGTAAACCTAAGGCGCTTAATGCATTTTTACATTATGGAGAAGTCTGTGTCAAGGTTATAGCGGTTGTTCTTAAATATATTTGCGAGGGATCCTTTATATTTTCACCTGAGGGCCCCTTAATAAGCCAAACAGGGACCCTGGATTGGCCTCCATTTTTAACCAATGAAGATCCAAGCTTATGAGTTCTCAACTGACACTGTCAGAAATCTTCCAGTTTTATGGTGTTTATATTTCTAGTTTAATTTAATGGGATGTATTGCGCAAAGTTCTGCAATAGCCTTTCATTGTTTAGAAAATGATCAGTTCATGATTTTATAAACCACTCAAAATGTGTTTGTGATGTGTTTTTTTTCTTCTTTTTGACCTTTTAGACGTCAAAATTAGAGCAGATATCCCAAACAAAATCTGAATTATTGTGTTTATTCTTAATTTATTTGTGAGGAGTTGATTATATTTCCCTCAAGGGCCCTTATAATAATCTAAACAGGGATAGAGATTTACTAGATTTGCCTCCACTTCTGGCCCCTTTTGTGAAAACACTATTAAAAATCTGCCAGTTTTATTTAGCTATTATTTATGGATTTGCTTTACAGGTATTAGGAGCTTGGACATACGCACTTTGAGATTTAATGAACTAATATAAACCTTAATCAAGGCTGGATTACCAACTTTTTCAACAATTACACTGCAGCCACATACCTGCAGGGTCCTCAAAGGCACCACTGGATGTCTAACTAACTTTACTGGTTTTTAATGAACTGAAAATATCTTGAAAATATCATGAATAACAAAATAAAAGTATAGAAGACTGTAGTAATAGTAATGCTGCGTTTATTTATTTTATTTTATTTTTTTACTTTTTAGAGAAGTCTCTGTCAAATTATGATGGATATTCTCTAAAATCAATTCTCAGAGGTTCGTTGTATTTTCTCTCAGAGCCCTTTAATAAGTTAAACCAGCCATAACCATGATAAAATAAGAAGTACCACAAATCAGTGAGATTTCAAAATAAAGGTTTCTTTTTTTTTTCTTCTTTTTTTAGATAATTACATGGTTATCTGTTATTGATTCTACTGTAAATGGTTTGTTTGTTTGAATTTTCAGTTATATAATATTCAGTCTACTGTTTTGCATTAGTGCAGGAATGAGAGGAAACAAACGTGGTGCCAGAGTTGAGCGGCGGATCAGGGAACTGCATCCAGTGGAAGGAGGAGGAGGAGGAGAGAGGAAGTTCTCCAAAAGTTTTTTTTTTTTTCTTTTTTTTTTCCCCCTGAAAGGATTCTAGAGAAGCTCCGTTAGATTTTTCAGAAGAAGGGGTCTCGAGTAAAAGGAAGAAAAAAACAACGCTGGGGGAAGTTAAAGGCAGCGTCCAGAAGTTCATCCCTTCTTCTGACTTTTTGGGTGAAACCACATGAAAGACGCGAGAAGAGGACGCGTGTGTTTGCCTTTGTTCTGTGCGTTTTGCTCCTTTTCCAGCCTGAGAGGACTTAACACCATCAGAGGCGATGAGATGTGAGTGAGCTATGCCTTGTGGAAATGGACAGACTTTATCCAAGCGAAAACATGGCGTCTGCGTCCCGAGGCTTAGCTTCTTTTCCAGTCTGCTTGTGGCGCTCTGCTGCCTGGAGGTCTGGGGCTCCGGGCCGCAGGGGGACGGCGGCGGCGGCGGCGGCGGCCGGAGCTGCAGCCCGTGTCCCGTCAACTGCAGCTGCGCTCTGGTGGGGCCACAACCGTCCTGCGTCGTCAACTGCTCCAACATCGGGCTGGAAAGGGCCCCGGACATCCCGCTGGCCACCAACGTGCTGTAAGTAAACTGGATGTACAGAGGGGAGCTTTTTCACTCACTTTAACCAGTTTGGATCAGAACTGAATCTTTTAGGATCATCAACTCTTTTTGGATCATGCAACTTTTACTTTTTGAGCTTTTTTTTTTGGACAAATAAACTAATCTATAAAATCCACTAGGGGATGTTTGCTACAGTTTTTGGCACCACAACTTGGAGTTTGTTGTTATTTTTGCCACATCCTCCTCCTTCTGTCATCCTGCTTATGTAAATAGAGCTACATCAATTAACCAATCAGGCCTTACCTTTAATTAGTCAATTAGGCCTATCAATTTTAATCATTTTTGAGAGCAAAAATTTATTTATTTTTCTTGATCCCACCTCTCAAATGTGACTATTTTCAGTTATTCTTCTGAAAGTTGCTCATCTTTGGTTTTCAGACTGTCGGCCAAACAGACTTAATATGGCATGTTTTGGAAAGTTTGACAGGTCATTTTTCATAAATGTGTTACATTAGGCCTGTTAAATATCAAATTAATTAGCAGCATAATTGGCAGAATAGCCAATTATTTGTTGCCCCGTCATGCATAAGCGCCCTGACAGATGTGGCGGTTGGGTTAAGGTTAAAAGCCTGCATCAGACATGCACAGTGCACCAGTGTAGGTTACCAAGAACAAAGCATAGAAAAATACATAAATATACGTAAAAATATTCAATTCCGAGTTGCAAAAAGGATAATAACGGCTTTTGCCATGCTTGAAGGTTGCTTTTATTCATGAGGCCTGTAGGCTTCTGTCAAAGCCTGACTGCTAGTGACTGTGTGTACGGTTTGGCGTGTGCATGTGTGTGCGTCTCAGTTTTTTCAGTTTAAATGAGTCGGTCACCAGAAACGTGAACCTGGTGTTTGTGGTGCAGATCAGTCTTCAGCCTCTGCTGCAGCTGCAGCGAGAACATTCTGTTCTGTGCCGACAGAAGCCATATGTTATCCATTATTTATTTCCACTGAAACTACCTTTTTTTGTTTCAGTATTTGCTATATATACACACCAGACATATAATCAATGCGCATTATTTTGGCATTTGCTTTCTTTGAAGGCTTCACCGCATTGGCCTGTTGCTATTGTTTAGAGGTGTAATGGTCATATTTATGTCAACAGGTTTGCTTGATGTCAGAGTGATAGTATTCTGCACGAAAGAGGAAGAGTGAATGGTTTAAGTGCCACGTTAATTAGAGACAGATCCCGCTGCAGGATCTGTCTCTAATTAACGTGAATGTTAGCGTGTGTGTCAGACTGTATTGGAGCGTTAATGGCATCGGAGGTGACTGACTGTGAACATTACTGTCCTTAGTAATTTAGCCTTCTTGTCTCCTGCTCCTTCTCTACAGGCAGAAACGTGGGATTGAAATCAGATATTTTCCTCTTAATTAACTCTGATTTCATGGCAGGAAGCGACTTGGAGCCAAGATTCAGTTGAGAACTTAACAATATTCATTTCATACTGCTGCAGGCAGTGCTTGGCCTGTATTACCTACAGTATCCACTCATTATTTAAAGGGCAAAAAAAAGGCCATTTACTTGCAGGAACTCGACTGAATAATGGCCTTCAGTGTTGAAGGCCAAGAGATGAAAGTGCAGGATTCGAACATGTAATGCATGTAATGGTTACTCCCTCTGAAGTCACCTTTCGTCTTTCTCTTTCCACCGTCTTATTATAGACGAGGAGAACAGCGGGTTCAGTAAGGCCACCATGAGTCTTTAGAAGTGCATTCACAGCTTGATTCGCTGTAACTTGCTTCAAATTGACATTTTAGACATGTTGATAAATGGCATCTTGTAGATATTTTTTTATATATTTGTAATTGTAAAAGCTGTTGGTCCTTGTCAAGACTATTACAAGGTTGAAATTACAGCCTTGAAAATACAGTTATTTAAATCCCTTATTCCGTAGGTTTTATCCCCACAAGTAGGAATTACCTCTCTGTAGTTTTTTATTGGCACTGTTGTGTTGCTCACAGAACAAGATTGTCCCTTAAACATGCACCAAATGAAGCAATACTGTAGATGAATAAGACACAGTAATGAGTCCACAGCAATGCTGGTGGTATATGTCGTGGTATTTTACATGACTAGTTGAATGTCACTAAAGATTTTTACTCAAGTGCTGTACTTTCTTATAATCTGAAGTGCTCGTTCTTTGAGTGTTTCCATTTTCCTCGACACTTTCTTCATACGCATTTATTGAATCGTGTTTACCAGCAGAATAACTAGAAGAGAATTTATTGTGATTTTGTATTGTGCAGCAATGTGACCTTTAATTTACCTACAGTTGGTGTTCGCCACTTGACAGTTTCAGCAGAGGCAGCCTCATGAAAAATCTTTATGACTCCGGTTTCCGCATCTTGAGATGTTACTGTATTTTATAGTATTGTGAAAAAACAGCTAAAGCATCATTAACCTTCTGAACCCCAGCAGTTCTTGTTTGTTTGCCCCTGTCATATTTTTCAATGCTGTGAAGGTTCATTTTTCACTGCAGTATAAAGTTCTACACCTCTATGGAAACAGTACAAACATGACTAGAAGTAGAGGGAACACAAACATGCTCTTTGTGCAGTGTAGCAAAACTGAAAAAAACTGGAATCAACATGTATAATATTTCTCTAAGTGCCTGCAAGGGTTACTAACACTGGGGAGAAAATGTGGGAAATTTTTACAACTTGAATTTTTAATTTGAATAAACACCGCCTGCAGTTCAGCCCACATTTTGTCACAGCACTGTTGGTCACAGCAGAGTCACTAATGGCTTCATGGTAGCGCTATACTATAAATATTTCACTACTTATGTTTTTTTTGTTTTTTTTTACATCTTGTGTCTGCTCTGTGTAAACACAGCCTGCAGTTCAGTCCAGTTCAGTTGTGCAAAAAATAAAATAGTGAGCAAAGCAGTGAAATTTTGAGGAAAACATGTAGGATAAAGTGATTTTGATCAAATTCCACAGATGTACACTTAGAGTTGGTTACGTTTTCTGTCATGACTTTGCAGATGATTAATTCAAACATGTTCACAAACTGGAAAATCTGGTGATTCTTTCTGATTTTACAGTTTCTGGCTGCGATACATGTTGCAATGTTGACTTTTAAAAGATAATCCGTGTTTAAAACCTGCTGCTAGGTTTGGAGTTAATACATACTGTGGACCAATGTGCCTCTTGTGCTTGTTTTCTGTGTAATGATTGCTTTTCTTTGAGTAAAACTCGGTGCATTTCAAGAGTTATTGGTAAAACAGTTTTACCATCAGCTGCTTCTGCTTTACCTTCTCCTTCCCTCTACATTTGAAGGTTCCGGTACTATATTATTGCTGAAGCAAGAACATGTCACCTGTTCCTAAACTGATCAAACATCAGCTCCTGTCCTCGCTGTCTGTGCCCCTATCTGGCCCCAAATCTACATGCTATAGACACACCCTTGTTAAAAAAAAAAAAGTCATCCAGTGGCAGCGAAGTATTTTAACATACTGCAGAGTGCAGCTGGAGGAAAGCATTCCCGTTACACACCAGTCCATCTGCTCCAACCCACACACATAATAAAATCTCTTAACACTTCATAGGGCGAGTTTCGCAGCTCTGAAGTCACTTCTGGGAAATGCTCGTGGAATGGTTTTTAAAGTGCTTTTGTTTAGTATGCAGATTGCTGGGACACAGATCATCACAGTACTGCATGTCTCCTGGGACAGTAGACCGAGAAAGAGTATCACAAGTACAGTCAACGTTTGTCTAAAAATACTGAACACCTTGTCAGTTCCAAGTGGAAGATGGCTGCTGCCGTGTAGCACAATATGCGAGTTCATTTCTTCATCATCAGCAATAATGTCATCAGTTAGTGTTACAAACGTGCATTTCATTGCAAAAGCTTGGCCGCTTTAGTCCATATATTGTTAAATACTCTGTAGTTTCCCCCATGCTGCCAGAACAACTGATCCATTGGAGATGAGCCTATGGAGGTGTCCACTGTATCTGAAATTGGGCCATTAGCAGCGGGTCCTTTGAGTGCTGTGGGTTGTGGGGTCTTTGTGGAGACGGTTTGTTGCAGTGCATTTTATGGACGCTCAGTGGAATTACCGTCTGGAGAGTTTGGAGGCTACAGTGATGTTTTAAACTCTTTGTCATGTTCCTTGAGCAGTTTTTGTGGTGTAACGGGGCACATTGCCCTTCTGGGGGTGTCTGCTGCTGTGTGGGAGTGCTGTTGCCATCTTTATGGTGGTGGTGATGTGACACACATTAATGTGTAGATAGGTTTCTAAACTGAACTTTGCATCGTAGGGAGATATTATTCATGTAATGTTGGCGGTTTTAATGTTGTGGCTGATTGGTGTGTACCGTATACTAGGGCTGTTAATGGTTATCAGTCAATCAAATAATTGCTGTTAATAATTCAACCAATTTATTAAAAAAAAAAAAACTTGAACCAATAAGGTAGAACACAAAGGACATGCTTGTCAGAAAATGTGTTGTAGATTAGCTGTAGTACCTGGTTGTACCACATGGTGTAGCCTCTTACTGTTAAATGAGATGGGAGACTGCAGAGGACTATGATCAGTTCCATGTTGGCAATCAGAGAGCATTGTGGGGGTTTATCCTGCAGTGGGCCACCATGACAAAGACTTCTGTGGCGGTTAATGCCTTTTAGTCAGGGCTTATTTATTCAGTGCAGAATCTAAGAGGGCTGCAGTTTCATAACTGGGTGGGGACAGCGAACGCCACGTGTCCGAACTTCAAAGTAGTCATGGCAGAATATGGAAATTTGTCCAATCACTGCAATTCATTCTTTGACTGATAACAGTGATGACTAGTGATTAATAATATTATCTAAAACTTGCATCCCCCCTGTATAAACACAGTAATGTCCTTATTGTAGCAAACTGCACTTCTAAATAACTGTTCACTGTAAGTACAGAATACTTTCTTGAATAGATTTGTACAGGAGCTTTACAGTTTGAGTTCCATGAGATGCTGTGCAGTACA